CATTTGTGAAACCCCACACTTGTGAACTCTGTGCTAGGCTGCTCATTAGAACTGCTCATTATTATTATTATTATTATAATGAGCCAGCGGCAAGTTGCATCAGGTTTTGTTAGAAACTTGACTTTTTTCTTTCAATAGTATGAAAGCAAGCAGTAACCAGGCTTGGCTGGACTCAGTCATTCAAAGGGAAGCCAAGCAGCAGGTCCTGTGTGCCAGTGGGCAGGATGATGTTACCTTGCCTGGCTGGCCAGACGCTGGCTCTGCTGGCTAAAGGAACATCAGGGCTTTTAACTTGTAATCTCTGCCCGACTGACAATAAGAGGTTATGGCTATAGAGAACAAGCTGGTGCTGCACAGGCCCCGGAGTTACTCAGGGACCTTGAGAGGTGGAGCCACGTTGTCCAGCACCTGGAGCAGGGGCAGGTACCCTAACCTGGAGGTGTCACACCCGCCCAGCTGCACAGCTGCCCTGGGGCTGGGGTTAGGGACATCAGTGCTGCCTCTCCTTGGGCTTCCTGTCTCCCTGTCTGCAATTGCCAGCACTTCCCTCCTGGTTGCTATTTTCACATGATGCCCAGGCACTCAGAGTGTGGTGTTTGACTGTGTTCAATGCTGTCACGTAGCAAACTCTTCTGGAGGGCAAGTGGGACATACACTTTTGCCTTTATTTCAAAAATGCAGAATGTAGAAGCCAATATAGGCATCCACTACTGTGTGAGTGATAACTTGCTGTTTCTTGTTTATGAGATAATTATTGTACAATCCCTGAATTAAATTCTTCTATGGTAAGAGGCCTGTCAATCTTATTAATCGTTGCTAATAATAGTCATTATCACGTGAGCAAGCTGCTTGCCTGCTTTATGAGTTTAGGCAAGTTGGTTCTCTAATAGGGGTCTTGTTTATTTCAGCTAGAAAATGGGGAAAATGGTATTTTCCCTCAGTTTTGAAAGGCGTTGCCCTGGTAGTGCTATGCAGAGCAGAGCTGTGAGGTGCACGGCAGCTGTGTGCTGGGCAGGAGGGGGGACTGCAGGGCTCACAGGTGTGCAGGGGCTGACACAGAGGCTCATGGCTGGGCTGGGTTGAGGTGGTTCCACGTCACAGGGCAATCAGCTGCCAAATGCATCTGATAGCATAAGTGTCTGAGAGCCACTCCAAAACATAGGGTTTGCCTTGTTTGCTTTGGGTTGGAGCCTTCCCACTCCCTCCCAATCTGGGAAAGCTCTGACCCCATTGGCTCCTGACAGTGATGCTGTGCCAAGGAAACAACAGGAGCAGAATTTAGGCCATTTCTATCAACCTCAGCATGGCCAGGATCTCCACACTGGGATACAGAGTGGATGTACAGGTCCTCTTGCATCTTCTGCAGTGCCTCAGGAGATGCTGATGCCTCCCCTCACTGGGGTGTACGTTTCCTGCAGAGATCCTTCCAGCAACAGGGTTCAGGATTTGTCCCTAATTACCTCTGCTGTTTCTAACAGTAACGAGTGTGTGGTGAGGGTGATGGCCAGCACTTCTTCACCTGAAACAGACACCCCAGCTGCATCAGCACATCCAAGGCAAGTTCCTGTTCTGGGTGCAGCTACTTCATGTCCACCATCTAAAGACAAGTTGGGTACCAAGGCTGGATCTGACAGAGA